CCCCAGCCTTGAGACAGTCTCCTCCTGGGTGCAGGGAGCTGGCCGAGGTGGCTCGCTGTTTTGGCGGATGTGTGGTGGTGGACATGGGCAAGCACAGCCACTCTCCTCTCTCTCCCACAGCCTCCAGACACCCCTTAAAGTCACCTCCAAGATGTCTCTCAAAGCCTTTGGGCTCCTTGGCTTAGTTTAGACTCTGGATTGTCGCTCTCTCTCCCCACTGGGCTTCCTGCTTAGTTTACACCCCTGCAAGCCCTTCTCTGCAGAGCAGGCAGAGGCGACTTCCTAAGACACAAGAGAAACACGGTATATCTCTGTGCTCCGAAGGCTTGAGAGGCTCCCCAGTACCCACAGGGTGCACTAGCTGGCACCCCCAGCTCTGAGGCCTCGCCCAAGCACTTCCAGGTGCCTCTTCTCCCGCCCCCTGCTGCCCCCATGTTTTTCTTAGTACTTCCACTAAATTCTTCATGCAGGCTGACGGACCTCATGTGTCTGACCCCTTGAGTTGGCTCTTGTGGAAAATGAAACCGGAAAAGTCGAGACAGGGATTGAATCTTTATGGGCACTTTATTCGGATGGCCGGCGATCTGAGAAGATGGCAGGTTATGTACCCTAAAAAGCCTGTCTTACATCTCATCTCAAGCCGACCCTTTTTATAAGGAGAAGAAAAGTGTAGGTTTGGAAACTCAGGGAAAAAGGTTAATCAGATAAAAGTTGAAGTCTGGCGATTTTCCGAGTAACCCTCCACCTGCTGACGTGTGATTCTTTATCTGCATCCTGGGCGGTGGATGTGCTCTCCCTGGAGCCCTAGTGGCTCAGATACCATCGTGGTTGCTTGGAGACCTCCTCCTGGGGCACAAAAGTTGAATTGCTTTCGGGTCTCCTGAAGTTAGAGCAGGTCGAGCCATACATTCCAGTCCCTGCAACAATAGCTTTCGACATGTATCAATTACCAAGCCTATTAACTATACATCTGAAGTTAAAATTTTTTTAACTTCTTGAGTTCCCCATCAGAAAACCCCTCCCTCCAATAAGATTCTACACTTATTTCTAAGACCAGCTCAAGAGTTTTCATCTTACTATATAGGGTGTCCCCCCAAAATGTATTAACACACTGAATAATTCTAAAGGCAGTGTTAATTTTTAAATTTTATACTTGCTTGATTTTTTTTAAATCTTCACCTGAGGATATTTTTTCCATTGCTTTTCAGAGAGAGTGGAAGGGAGAGAGAGAGAGAAAGAGAAACATTGTTGTGAGAGAGACACGTGGATTTGTTGCCTCCCACACAGGCTGTGGATCCAGCCTGCAACTGAGGGCTGCAATCGAACTCAGGACCCTTCAGTCTGTGGGCTGACGTTCTAACCACTGAACAAAACTGGCTAGGGCAAAAGCAGTGTTTATTAAATACATTTCATTTTCAAAATTGAGCTATCAGCTGTTAAAGTATATATACATTGTTTTGGGACACCCTTCTATAGCCTTTCCAATTTACTCGTCAAAATGAATTGCTCTACCTTGTAATGTGTGTTTGATGGGCCAGGTACCAAAACTCACCAGGGCAGGAAGCCCCAGATGCCTAGCAAGGGGTGAAACTGGGAAAACAAGAACCTTGTCCCCAGGGTAACCTATCCTCTCCTAGCATATCGCTGGTCATGCGGTGTAGACCCCTGAGCATTCCTCCCTAAAGATAACATCTAGGCCTCAGTTGTATTTCCGCTCCAGGCCCAGATAAGCAGCGAAGTCACACAAGTGGCCCCAAGTGGCCCCGTGGCTGACTCAGGACCAGACACATTGACTAATGACGCCCTGCCCTGGCACTGACAAACCAGGACCCTGAAAGCACACCTGGGAAGCTGATGAATATTCTGTCAAGATCCTCCCCTGAGACCTCCCCTAAGATTCCTGCCTGCAAGAAAGAGATAAATAA